CGACACATACTGTTTAGATAATATCGTTCATGTCAAGCCGGAAATGCAGATTTCTTTGAAAAAGTACTGATAAATACCATGCACCGTTCCGCTGCTCACTTTATCACCGCCACCTTTCTTCCTCAGCAAGCACATTTCATTTGCAAAAGTCTTACTTTCAAAAGCTATTGCGACATTAATGTTGGGAAAGGCGTTTTGAAGATCGATAAAAACTATTCATCTATTTTCTCTTTTACTTAGCTTCACATCCAACTCGTTATTCATCTGCACTTTTTTCACAGTTGAAAAGCTCTTCATAAACTTCATGTAACTCCACTGGAGGGTCTTCTACAATTTACTACGAGAACAAGGAAAAGCGATCCATCAAGCAGCCAAAACAAACCGTAAAGGCGAATATATCGCCTTGCCTCCCTAACTCCCCCCTCCCCATCCCAAATGATAAAACCTAGAATAAAATAAATAAAATGTATAGTCATCTTTCGATGACATTCCAGTGAGACGTCGGGAATCGACATTCCCATTGGAGATCGGATCTCCGACGGGAATCCGATCCCCGCGTTCCCGAACCACCTATGCTTCCGCCGCTTTTCCCACCGTAGATGAAATCTACGATGGTCAAATCCCTTCCCTGATTCTCATGCAGATCATTCCCAAACCCTGTTGTCGGAGACTGAGACTCATGATATTGCTTGCAGGAAGAGCAGTATATATGCTCGAGAATCCGATGTTCGTGGTCCGCGTTCACTTGCTATCTCCAGTGCCAAATGACACACTTCGCTTCGTTCCCGTATCAACAGACGTCTGTGATCTACTTAGTCCTCATCTTACTCTCGCGCCTGTAATTATTATCGCGTGTAATAAATCTCGTCCTATTTTAGCCTGGCCCGACACCTTCCAGGGGTATTTCGATCCACTGACATAGGCGGCACTAAGATTAAAATAAACCCTCTTTTATTGTTCCTACATCACAGCATACCAGTTAAGATGTGACATCGGCTGAACTGTTATGTGCTCAAAATGAAAAATTCTTTTGCAATTCATTCTTTCTATTCAGAGAGAGATTCTCGGCCCAATTATATTATCAATGTACGCAGTGACGGGACTGACAGATAACTACAATATTCTATCGGGCTGATGGATACTCTATCGCACCTTCGCCATTTAGGCTTCCACGGTCAACCTGGTTGCTGCAATCGGCTTACAAGAAACTGACGACGAATCAACTCCGTTGCACGCTCGGCACTTAACTCC